AATTTGACATGGTGACAAGAAAGTACATACGTTATTTGTGACATAACTTTATTCAAGTAAAAGATAAAGAGATCAAATAAAATTTATATGATAAATGAATAACTAAGGAACAAATATAATCACCCTTTATTTGGATACACAGTCGAAGGCGCGTGAAAAAATTTTGTGTAAAAGTTCTCAATACTAGAAACCGGCAAAATCGCGCTTCCGGGATCCCGAGTCGGGATTTTTTTCTTAACCGATGCCGGGACGGGATCCCGAGGGATAAATCCCGAAAAAAATCCCGAAAGTAATTATCCGGGATCCCGACCGGGATTCGGGATTTTTTTTCAAAATAAAAAATTTTAACTTTTTAAGAATAAAGTCCCTTATTTTCATGAGGCAAATATCAAAAAGGATTTTGAGAAAAATGGATAACAAAAATGAGTATTTTTACATTTAAATAGTTTGGTCCTGTCAGCGGTAATTTGTACATCTACCGCTGGCAGGTATCGCTGACACATCTATGTCAGTGTTTTGCTATATTATAAATATATATTTGTTGATTTATTCAACATCCAAAAATAAGAAAACCAAATCAATGGAGGCACAGCAAACCGCAGTAGGAACCTAGATATAAACAATTTAGTTTTGGATCATATGTATATTTAGCAAAACCTGGTGAGAGTTAAAAGCTGTGGAGAAATTTATTTGCTAGGAGCTTGAATAAAACCATGATTTAATGAGTAATACGCTCGTACCTCTTGGTAAAAGAGATCCAGGATGTTAAATTTTGAAACAAACATTCTTAAATATAATATTTTTATGAGGGAATTTTTTCTAATTACATAAACCTTATTTTGGTCAGTTTTTGTTTTTTGTTGCTTAAAGTAGAGTTGGAAAAAACGATAGCGTATCGGCCAACCAGTACTTTGTGAAGAGAAAGAACTTTTGCCAGATTTTTTAATTAGATCATCTTCTCCGTCATCTTCGTAATGCTAAATGTAAAAATCAGAAAAATATGAATTTAAAATTTTTGGAATTTTTCGGGTCTCTCATGCTCTTTCTTTCAAGTATAAATTTCATTAAATTTAGCCAAAGCAAGTTTGGCTCCCAAAAAATTTATCTCAGTCCGCGCTGGTCCAAAACCTAATTTGAATAAAACATAAACTTATAAGTATAACCTAAATAAGAAAATTATATATTGAACAAATATAGCTATAATACTACATAGTTATTTTTAAAATTTTCGATTTCCGAATTTCAAAGATTTTTTTGTTTCGACGAAGAGGAGTGCTAATGGAAAAATGGAAAAGTTTTTTTTTAAAAAGTTAATAATTAATTGGATACCGAAATGATATAGTAGTAGTGAAATTTTGATTAATGAAGATTTACATATTATAAAGTGGAAAGTACATTAATTTATAACTGATTGAATCAACTTACAAAAATTAAGAGTCGATACTATAACAATCGCAGAATAGCTAAATGGAAAAATAAGCGATTACTCATTAATATTATTGTACATAAAAATATATATTAAATAAATTTTGTAAAAATAAAATAAATTATGCCAGATAAATTATGTAATTCTTTTAACATTAAATTTTTTGGAGTTTTAGTTTTTGTTTTGATATGCCTGTAAAGGTAGCAGTGCTGAATGAAAGTTTAATTAATAGCAGTCTAAAATAGTAAGGACAAATTGGTATATTAGCTGATTCTAATCAGCTCCCAAAAAATTAAAGAATAACCAAAAAAAGTATATGTCTTTTGTACCAGGCATATAAATTAGAAAAGAAATGTAAAAATACATATTTATCAAAAAAATTAAAAACAAACATGGTAATATCCTAGCTATCTCTCACGCCTTTCCTTGTTAGACCAAGGTATTCCTTCCTCGGGTGCAACATAATAAGTGTTTTTGGACATACAATAATCGAGGGCATATTCTCTTTTAACTTCATTTAGCTCTGGACTGCGCTAATAAATTTATTAAATTTTTTTTTGAGAAATTGGAGGTTAATATGAAAAAATTTTCAGAATTTTTAAATTAAATTTTAAAAAATACCAAGCAACGCACAGTTGTGTAAACTTTAATCATCCATAATTTCACAAAAAACTTTTTTTAATTTATTTATTGTCCGTTGATTCTTTTGTTTTTCCTTTCAAAAGTATTAATTAATTTATAAATTTCGAGATAAGAGTTGATCTAACTTCAAATGAAAATGCATCTAATTTTATACAAATTTTTTATTTTTTGTAAGCCAAGCAAAGCTTAGGCTAATTTTGACGATATTTATGAGTCTGCATCTTGGAGCCGTTTTAATGAAATCAATCCCCGAGAAATTGAGATTCTCAATAACCGAGTAAAATAGTCTCTGACATCCTAAACACTGCGCTACAAAAAATTAAATATGATTAGCAGAACCATGATAGAAAATGAAAAATTAAATTTATGGGAGATGGAATAGAACCATCATGTAATGTGTCAGAGTGTGCCACCCACATTTATGATCTGTTTAAATTTATTTTCAGTCAACCTGAACTAGTGTAGCTCCGCATACACTAAACCACCCGACAACCTCCGAACTAGTACTGTAACTCTTATAAATCAAACTTTACGAGGAGAAATGGTATATTTTGAAATATCAACATTTTAAATACATATTACAGAATTTTTCTGAATTATAAACACATGGAGGAATGTAGCTTAATCAAATTGACTAAACTATGTAATTTACTAATTTAGGAACCAATAAGTGAGTGATCACATGATAGATTTTAAAAAATTCCAGAATAATCAAAACTCAAAAAAAACATTTCAAACCTCCTTTACAAGTGTTTTGCCATAATAATTTCCTGCAGGCCCTGTTGGGTTTGTAAAAGGAGTAGCTAATATAGGCAATCGTTGATTTCTGTAATAATTATCATTCATTCCGTTATTTCCACCGCCAAAACCAAAAAGAAAACGAAAGAAACGGGAAAATATATTCCTTCCACCTCCAGGATTTTCGTTGTTATTGTTTTCACGTCGAATACTGCGTCTATGACCTTAAATTAAAGGAAAATTGAATGTTAAAGTTAGAATTTTAATTTCGTCAAAAAAGCGATTAGGGACTGATGCGAAACCAAGCAAACTAAACGAGACAACATTGTAGCCGAGGTATACCGTATTGCAAAAATGAAAGATGTCTTAAAAGATATACTTATAGAGATTAATTTTTATAAACATTTATTAGCCAAGGTTGACCGGCTTACAAAAATACGAAAAACGACTACCAACAAACATGCCATATATTTCAACTACATATCATATGTATGGATCAATTAACACAAAATTATATATTATTTAAATTCGTACCACTATTATAAAAATTAGGAGGTCGTCGTTCATCTGCCACATTTCCATACCTTGCTCTAGCTGAATTTCCTCCTCCCTTCCTTCTAGGTGTTGAAGAATATAAATGATTAGTTTCTGTTGTATTTGTATCTACACCTCCCTCTACAGTTGTTGGTAATAATTCTCTTTCTTGCGAAGAGGAGGAAAGGCTTGTAGCCTCCCCTAAAGGAAATTTTGGAGGGGCTGTTGAGGATGGAATACCTTAAGAATGAAAAAGTTAATAAAAGAAGTGAATATTTATGAGGAGGCATAAAATAGTTTTTAGAGGGTAAAGAGGAAAATACTGTCCATAGTCCAGTTTATGCGTACAACAGAAACTTTTGAGACCAAAGCAAAAACATCCATAAAACCTAAAAACTTCCTAACAAAATCCAGAATTTAAAAAGAAAACTATGTTATTGCCAAAGCGTTGCTTGGCATACAAAAAATTAATTCCATAATTATATTCTTACATTGCCTAATCTTAATCAAACCCTTAATTTAGCGTTAAATAGGAAAGATTCTATGGAGTACTCCTTTTAGTTTCCTTTCAAATGTGTTACATGTTAACATTGCTTAATCTTCCATTATTTTAAAGAAAAAGTAATTTAGATTACGAAGATAAGAAAAAACGAGAAAATGATGACGCAATTTTTTGGATTTCTCATGTAATCGAAAATTAATCTCATACTATCACACATAATCCCAAATAAAACCTAATAAGATTGATATACCCTAACTATAGTACTATTTTTCAGTCCCGATGTGAAACCCATTAAACGACGTATTCTCCAACCTCCATTATTTCCAAATCTGTGAGTTAAAGCAGTCTTCCCTCAGCCATAAAAGTCCTCATCTTCCTCTCCCTCTTCGACATAATCGTCCTCCATCGAACCAGTACTTTGTGAAGAGAAAGAACTTTTGCCAGATTTTTCAATTAAATCGTCTTCTCCGTCATCTTCATAATGCTAAATGGAAAAAATATCAGAAATGGGTAGGGGACGATTCAGTATCGCCGATTCAGTATTGGCCGATTCAGTATTTGGGCTTTTTGGCCATAACTTTTTGCTCGATCAAAATGACTTGATCTGATCACTCTACAAAAAGTTATCACTGATAAACGACGTCACAGGCATAAAAAATCGGTTTTCACGCTGTAACTTTTTTTGTGATCATCAGATCTGATCGGGCCAATTATGAAATTGATGTCGAATCTTGAGACCTTTCGAATGATATGAGAATTATTCAAATCGGTCGAATATCAGGAAAGTTATGGCCATATACTGAATCGGCGGATACTGAATCGTCCTTAACCGATCAGAAATATAATCACAAATTTTGGAGTAGGGTCTTTCATGCTTTCTTATAGGTATAAATTTCATTAAATTTAGCCAAAGCAAAGTTTGGCTCCCAAAAAATAAATTGCCTGCCTGTATGAAGGTAACTAAATAACCGGAATAAAACGTAAACTTATAAGTACAACTAAATCAGAAAATTATATATCGAACAAATCTATCATATCATATAAAAATCAAAAAAGTAACCATTTTTCGCTTGTAGTAGTCAAATATTTCTCCAAGTATTTCTCTAGCAATAAGTGGTCCAGCATGACCCTCGATAAACCAAAATAGAAGAATCTTAAAAGAAAAAAATTATTAGAAAACGAACAGAAAGGAATCCAGTAATTGATTTATTGTGTATGTGGTTTAGTATAAAAGCTGATCAATCTGCTCAAACAGCACCTAGATATTGTAACCACCTAGCCTTGATTATCCCCGTTTAAGATTGATTATCCCCCCATAAAAATTATTTTACACCATCCTTGCAAAGCGCAGTTCTGCAAAAGACTTGATCAACTTTCGATCCCTTTTCTTTGCTGAATAAACCAAGTTTTCGTGTCTATCCTTTAAAATTGAAAGAATTTTATGATTCCAAAAAATTTAAATTTTTCTTTACTTGTTTGAGCAAATGTCTAACAGAATTTTCTTGTGTACAAGGCAAACAGATAAGTACAAGGAGGTAGTACCAAAAGTTGAAGAAAGTTAGAATTGAAACGAGTAGAAAGCCCCACCTTTAAATAAAAGAGAATTAAGGGTAACAGTTTAATATTTTCTAGTTTTAAGTCGAATTTTCCTGAAGCAAAAGTGAGTTCAATCATATTATGCCAATTTAATCAGCATCCAAAAATAATAATACCGGAAATAACAAGCAAGAGAAGAAATTATTAAACCGGAATAATAAAATTATATATAATAATTTAAATTTTCAATCATATATTTAGCAGAATTGGAACAATCTTTAAGATCAGTATGGCCATATTTATTTTTGAATGCTGATTAAACCCGCATCTATTCGTAAGCTAAAATAAGCCTATGTTACTGCGAACAAAACCGAGCAACCGCTGTCTCCCGCGAGACGCGTGTCACGAAACCCCGAGCGTTTCGTTTGGGGAAGATATATCTGTTTGGGGAGATATAAATGTTTAAAAGTAGGATATGTCATATATGGCATAAACGTAGGATCCTAGACCCCAAGATATGTACCCACCTTAATTCTTCAAAAAGATCTTCCCGAATCGTCGGAGCTAACTCTAAATTAAGTCGATTATAGGGTTAAGATTAGAGACCGGATCGATACGATATATCGATGAAAAATATTGATATATCGATGCCTAGTATTGGACGCATAAATGATTGGACGCATAAACTAGACAAAAGCCGATTTTTTCTTTGAAATGTGCTTTGTAAATCCTTATTTTCCTTCCAACCCATTAGCTTTACTCTACAAATTATACTCAAGTAACAGCAAAATCGAAATTTCCAAATACTTGTTTTGATATTTATTTACTACTTATTTATTCACAGTTATTTAGAAAATTTCAACACTTTTTTTAAATTTTATTACAAGAAATATTTTGTAAAAAATCTGATAAGGATGATTTTATTACATTTTTCTCATCCTTTTTATGTTACCTGCTTTTATGTTTTCTATTTATTTATTTAGTTTAATTCAACATTAATTGTCCTTTCGAAATTTCTCTTTATTTTTATCAAAATGTGTATAATTAGTCTAATAATTCATTAGTAATTTAGGTAGTTTCCTTAAGTAATAAAAACTCTGTATCGGGCTAAAGCGAGGAACGACAAAACAAGGTCGGACAAAATACGGTCTTACCAAAACACAGAATGACAAAAACACGGTCCGTAGAAATAATAATTCTTTATGATTTTAAAATATTTTAAATCCGTTTAATTTTATGGCTCAACATTAATCTTTCAGCTCTTAAACCTTTTTGAACTCTGAACATTCTTCATTTCCTTGATATGTTTTTTAGCCCAAGAAATACAAAATAGTTCACTGTAGTTATTATGTATTCCATTTGGAATTCATCATATAATTTTCTTCATAAATTATATGTATAAATCTTAAATTTCAAATTTGTAACTCGGAATACTTGGAATGAATGCAATTTTATTTTTGTAAGCAAAATAGTATTTTTGCTAAAATAACCCATTAACAAAAATCTAAAAATAATTTAATTTATTTATTTAAAACCCCTCCACGTCAGATTTTTCATTCTTTTTTGTTCATCATTCAAGTTTTATTTCATTTTCTCTCCCCACAGCGTGTTCCTTTTAAGTATACCCCTACTTAGTTTGTATTTACTAACGCGATTTTCTTTTTCATTTTTATTGCAACTTTTTATTCCATCGATTGCAACTTATTCCACACCATTTAAAAATCAATTCCTAAAAAATTATTAGATTGAATTGTATTTACTTATCAGGGATGGACGTGCTGTTTGAAATCCGACCTGAGCCCAAGCCCTGGACTTTCTTTGGCCTGAACCCAGATTCGAATAAAATTGTGGGGGAACCCAGCTAGAACCAAGTCCTGACTTTTCGCAACCAGTTCCAACCCCGATCAGCATAAATCATCGTTGTGACCAGTGATGTCAAAGTTCCAGTTCCAGTTCCGGAACTAATTAGTTCTAGTTCCAGTTCCGGAACTAGAACTACGGAACTAACGATTATCTGGAACTAGTTTGGAACTAGAACTACGGAACTAGTAAATGCCTGGAACCAGCTTGGAACTGGAACTACGGAACTAGTAAATGTCTGGAACTAGCTTTGGAACTAGTTCTGGAACTAGTTCTTGGGGGTATATTTTTGACAAAAATTTTTCGAAAATTACCTGCAGCGCGCTGAGCATGGAAGAAATCTGGCTGCTTGAGCTCCAAAATTCTAAAAATTTTCGCCTGCGGCGCTGAAAAAGTGAATTTTTTTGCCCTACGACCTTAGAAATTCTCAAAATTTTCGCCTGCGGCGCTGAAAAAGTGAATTTTTTTGCCCTACGACCTTAGAAATTCTCAAAATTTTCGCCTGCGGCGCTGAAAAAGTGAATTTTTTTGCCCTACGACCTTAGAAATTCTCAAAATTTTCGCCTGCGGCGCTGAAAAAGTGAATTTTTTTGCCCTACGACCTTAGAAATTCTCAAAATTTTCGCCTGCGGCGCTGAAAAAGTGAATTTTTTTGCCCTACGACCTTAGAAATTCTCAAAATTTTCGCCTGCGGCGCTGAAAAAGTGAATTTTTTTGCCCTACGACCTTAGAAATTCTCAAAATTTTCGCCTGCGGCGCTGAAAAAGTGAATTTTTTTGCCCTACGACCTTAGAAATTCTCAAAATTTTCGCCTGCGGCGCTAAAGAGTGGATTTTTTCGGCCTCTTAATCCTCCAGTTTATCCTCCAATCTCCTTAAATCTTCCGTTATCACTCATAATCCTCTTATAACCCAGATATCACCAAAAATCCTTCCTGCATTGAAATAAAAAAGGCCGGACCAATACACTTCACACTCAACACTTGACACGGATCAATTGTGGGAGTAGTGTTATGCCTTTATCTGTTAAAATTGATAAATCCTTTCATATTCAAAAATTTAAAAATTTGGAACTAGAACTAGCTTGGAACTAGTTCCAGAACTGGAACTGGAACTAAGGAATTTCAAAAATGGAGTTCCGGAACTGGAACTGGAACTACAAAAATTGAAAACCTGGTTCCGGAACTGGAACTGGAACTACGAAAATTAAAAACCTAGTTCTGGAACTGGAACTAGTTCCAGAGAAATTTTGGAACTTTGACATCACTGGTTGTGACCATGATCATGGATGAGCTTAAGAGACAAGTGCGGAAAACTCCACGCAATCCGCAAGAAATATTTTCGTGCTATCTTTACCCCTTCCACGTCACTTTCATTCTACCATAGCTGACAATGGCTTGAGATGAGTTCAAATAGCCTTTGTCGCGTTCAGCTTAAATCAGATTAATTTTGTTAGGAACTTCCAAAATTCCTCAGTTCTATCATTTTTCCAATGTATTCTCTCTTCAATAATTATCCAATCTACACACATTTTTTTATTTCAATAAAGTCTAGCCATTCTCCCTCATTTTTATTAACACAATCTAGTTAATTATTCTCTTATTTTTCCGGTTTTGTAAAGAGACAGTCATCGTCCCAATCCTTTCATCTTCTACCCCTTCCTCCAATTTTTCCATTTATTAAAGCCGTTTAATCGCCATCTATTTAGATTGTTTTATTGAGATTTTCTAATAATATTTTAGTGAAATTTTTTGATTTTTAAGCATTACTAAAATGATAAACTATAATTAAAACATCCAATTTTGCGAAAAAACTGACCAATATACTATTATTTTAGAATTTGTGGGTATATGTCCAACATTATTTTAAAGCCCCTATAATAATTTTAGGTTAATTGGACAATTAGATCTAGTACCAAAATAATAATGAATCGACTCGTTCCTATTTCTGTTGGGTATATCCAACATCCAAAAATATAATAAAAACAACTGAAGTCAAGCTAGATAATATAAACGAATCCAAGATTTAAATGATATTTTAATTCAAAAATTTGCTATTTTTGTACCCAAAGTGAGGTTGTTTTGTAGTACATTCGATGGATATAGCGCAGTTTAGTTTATAATCTCCATTTCCTCCTCTACTCAATTTTTAATTTATTTGCGAATATACGGGGCGTCTCATCATTTTTTTCAATGTATTTGCAGCTGTCCTTCCAATAAATAATAATTTTTATTTTATATTTCTCTCACGCGTTCCCATCATTTTTAGTAATTTCCCCTCTTCATCTCAATCATCATTTTGCCTTTACAATCCAATCAACCAAATAAATATATACACTAGTTGTTTTGTTATTTTTATGTTTTTATTCACCTTTCCTTTTTAATTCTTCGTTCGCGTAAATTTGTACTTTTTAGCTTATAAAATTGTTTACAAAAAATTGAATTTGTACATACCTAGTCGATATGATATTTTTATTAGTATGCTTTGCTAACTTAAAAGTCCCTTTGCTTCAGAAAATAATATTCAAAAAATTTAGCCAAAACTCGAGTTCGGCTCCCAAAAATATAACCTCAAAAACTGTGCAGATCGACAAAAATTTGAACCACCATATGCATTATGCATAAATAGAAACACAAAGAAATTAATTAACATTATGTAGAAATGCATAAATTATTGCTAGAATTTGTTTTGGGATTTGATAATTTATTAAAAATTCTTTGGACAGACTATCTTAACAGATGAGATTTCCAATTAATATTTTAGCAATGAGATTCGGAGCAGTTCAACTGAGTCCGCACGATTGAGTCCCCACGATTGAGTCCGCACGATTGAGTCCCCACGATTGAGTCCCGGCACAATTGAGTCCCGGCACGATTGAGTCCCCCTTGTATATACCTCAATTGAGTCCCCGTGGATTTAATTATATTAAAAAGGATTAAGAGGGATATCGGGGGATTTTTAGAGATTAAAGTGAACATCAGGGGACTTGTATTCGACATCGAGGGATCAAGTTGTATATCGGTGGATATGGAGGGATTAAATGCAAATTTAAACTTTTAAAGGTGATATCGGTGTATTAAGGTAGATATCAAGAATTTGGATAAATTTGTTGATTTTTTTCTTCCTCTCCCAGCACTTTATTATCCTCGTTACTGATGGTCTCCCTTGCAATTTAATGAAGTTCACGGCGCGAATCGACGCCCCCAATGGTTCGTCTTCGGCTAGCTCATATTTCTCGACGATGATGTCCCGCTGCGAGTCATCAATGCTATCCGGCAGATGTTCCGCGCTGAAGCTTTGCTCTTCCACATTGATGGCCGTTGTACCCGTAGTGCCCA